AAAAAAAAAAAAAAAAAAAAAAAAAAGAAAAATATAAACAAACCTGAGAAACGATAATATGATGTGCGTGTCCTATATGGGAAGATGGAGAAAGCATGTCAGTCAGTGTGCCTGGTTACCTATACACAGTATAAACAATCCAAACAACACTCACTACATATGACACAACTATATTTTACATTAATAGGAATCTTGATAAAAAAATTAATCGTATAAACAAAATTATAAAATTATATTTATGACGATGCATGCCAATGAAAAATTCTTTAAAACATTTTGTGATTTTTGGAACTAGAGAGAAAATGTTTTTTTTTTAAAAAAAATATTTCAATTTCTAAATCTCTAGCAATAAAACTTAAAATATAAACATATGTAAAAAAGAAAGCCATATTCTTCTAGTTCCGATAATAAAATTACAACAAATAAGAAAAAATTATACAACAAATTGAATAAAGCACAAGCCTTCTGCACTAAAAATAAGCAGAAGGCATGAAAGCTAATAAAATTGGTCATGCTATCACACCACTAGACACTAAATATTATTAGATTCATGCAAAATGAATCAAATCGGATAATCGGATATTTGCATTTTGAGAAGATTCAGAGATTCAACGTACCCGCCACCATCTTGCTCTTTTCCATAACTTGCTTAGCTAAAATTTGATTCAATTGTAGAATATGTTCCCTTTGTCGTTTTTCTTCTACTACTTTTCTCTTCAAACTATCAGATTGCTCGATATTAATATTGTCATCTGAAAAAAGAAGAAACGATTCATTTAACCATATAATATCTATTCAAAAAAATAGCCAGATGTAATGAAATTGTGAAATGATCCATACCACTTCCGTCTGGCGCGGTCACGGTTGTTTCAGACAACATCTTCCTTATTGCTTCCGCTTTCTTCAATCGTTGCTCCTGCTCTTCCGCGGTTAACTCCGGTGTCTACAAAATACACTTATTCTAAAATTCTATCGAGAAAATAACGTAAAAATAATTAAATCATCTCACCTGTTCAGGTATGTATCTTTCGGGAATCACGATCTTATTCGGCGTTCCCAAAAGTTGATCGATAGTGCTCTCGTTATACTTCAACTCTTTGTGGCTCAAAGTCGATCTGACAACATCCGGAGCATTGATCCTCGGCCTGAGCGCTCGTTCCATGTCCAGATCGTCTCTAGCTCTTCCCATTCCCTGCGCAATGTTGCAAAAAAAAGCCTTCATACAATCGTACACATTTCACGCTCGCGACAATGAAACACGAAAAAGCGACGCCACAGTACACGACAAAGTTGGAAAAATGGAATCGACAAAGGAAAGAAAGAGAAACTAATGAATTTGGGATGACGATGAGAAAAAAAGAAAGAAACACGAGTAAAAATGTGAAAAGAAAATACGAAAATAAAAAAGAAAAAGAAAGAAATGATACCATCTTTGAGAACGTATCCTCTAGGTCGAGGATAGGTTTGCTACTGGACACGGTATAGTGTCGCCTTTTCTCGCGAGGGATCTGCCTGCGTCTCGGTCCCTCGACTTTTTTCTCTGTCATTTCCTTGATGATCTGTCTTGCTGCCTCGCTCTTGAACACGGGCGACAATTGAGGCGAGGAGCTCGACGTGTTTACATTCAACGACGAGCCGTAAGCTTTCTCCTGACCTTCGAGGTTGCTCGATGTCAACAATTCCGGGCTTATCGGTTCCTGAACATTGCCTTGATTCTCACTATACTGCCTGTACGATGTATAATACGGATGGTGATGATGGCTCGATTTGATCGTGTAATTTTGCTGGTGGCTACTAGGACTGTAGGACGGACTGGTCGAGTAATTTGGCGAGCTGATAGGAAGATGCGTGCTCGAGGCGAGGCTCTCCGTGTACGGCGACAAAGTACTGTCCGAGCTTCCTTCATGTTGCGTTTCGAACTGCGTGTCGATCGACGGGCGAAATAACGATCGAGGGTGGACCGAAGTGGAGGGCCGA